ACCCTGCTTCATTCCTATGCAGGATTTCTGACAGGACAGTGAGCATCACGTCTGAATAGTCAGAGAGAAAAGTAAGAAAAGGAGAGGGGAGGAAAAGAAAATGATTAATAAGGCTGTCTGAAGAACGAGGGAGGGCTTTTTGAGGAAGGTCACAGGCCTGAAATCAACAGAATACTTTTAATATTCCCTAATCCTGGTGGTGTGGCAGTTCTATGGGGGGGGGGGGGGAGATGGGAGTTTGAGATATGATGAGATTAGGGCCGAGGGAGGGGGAGAAGAAAGACGGAGTGAGCTTCTGATGGCACAGCAGGTTTGGCCTCCCCTGGGGAACACGGGGGGCATGAGAGGGGGGGGCGATCGACACTCCACAAAGGACAAAGGGAGGGAGAGAGAGAGAGTCTGTACTTATATTTATGTGTGTGTGTGTGTGTGTGTGTGTGTGTGTGTGTGCTTCCTACAGTACCACCCACAATGACAGTCCCCCCCCCCCTCATCGCTGCAGTCAATGTCACGGCCGCCAATCGAAACAACTGCCGGCCAATGGGAACTCATCCTCTCCACATGTGAACCAATTAGGTCAAAGCAATGTTAAGGCGAGCTGTGTGTCACTGCGAGATGTATAGTTAACAAATAATCCTGTTAATGTTTCACTGGATTCTGAGAGAACGGGCGTCAATACGCAGGGTTTGGTGTCATTGCTTCTTGTGAGCGGACTCTTCCTCAAGGAGAACGACTTTAATCAATATTTCTTCAAGTTCACATAGATATGTGTCAGAATGTGTTTGTAAAAACGATGCAATACATTTTTTAGGATGCTGTAGTTGAATTAGACGCAATTTCAATGAAGAGCCTTTTAAGTATTCTGCTGCGTTTCTTTTTTCAGATGTTTTCTGTTTTCACTCCTTGTCAAGCTATGGGTCTCGTTCAACCTCGATCCAGAGCTGCTCATCATGTTATTACTCTGATGATCTTAAACATTTCAGTCAGAGATCAGCTTGAGAAGAACGTCCAAAATAAATGACTTTAGGATGAGGATGGTACGAAGGAAGCCCTTTTTAAGGTTTAGTTAAGCTGGAGAAAATACATCAGACGGCCACGTAGACTCAGAGCAAGCCTCAACCTCCAGTGTGAAAAAATGAAGCCAATGCAGAAGTGTAAAAAAAAAACCCGATTTGTTCCTCGAGTGTCCACTTGAGACTGGCTGCAGAAGCCCCATTAAAACCCATGTTCAAAATCTTAATTTGACAGCAGACATGAACATGTTTACAGCCTGGTTCAAAAATGAATCTTGTATCAAAAACTAATTTCCTTATTGTTAGATACTGTATGGGTGAATCACTTATCCATTTATATGTTTATTAAGTCTCAGAGTCATTGGTATATTTGCAGAATTAGGGTGCAGCTGAGTTGACAGACAAGTGGAGGCCCGCCTTAACTCCCGCTCTTAGCCTGCGTTTCAAATATGTCGACTGCCATCGTTGGGCTTCATGGCGCCGCTTCAGGAACCAATGGGTGATGTCAATGAGAATACGTCCACGTTTTATAAACTCTATGATTCAGGGCTGAGAACAACATCAAGAACATCTTAGCTTCGCTCAAACCAAATCCATGAAATAGATCTCTTTTTTTAGATGATATTTTGTTTGTTTGTTTGTTTTTTGTCACCAGGCGTTTGTTTATTGTATATGTATGAGGAGATTGCTGAAGGATTTTCACTCAAGTGGGATTTCAACACAATCAAAATACCAAATTAGAAGTATTAGTCTGTGACTGACGAGTTCTGGGAAACATCCAGCTGAGTGGCGGCGGTTTGAAAATTTGGGCGCTTTGATCGAGTATATTTCCTGCTTTCAGAGCCGCATTGTTTCTGTTGGTAAAGTATATAAATAATAATTTAGAATTGGCATTGAAGTAACTTGTTTTAGACTTCATATCATCTAAAGCCCTGTGTATGCATGATAGACAAAGTTAAATTTTGAGAGTTGCACGGGAGGGGCGCTGAATACGTTTGAATGATTCATGGTCAGTCGGGGGTGTTGACATATATAAAACTAAAGGCACTGTCCTTGTTTTCAGCTGGTGTGGTTCAGGTTCAATAATGCCTCAGAAAGATCAAAGAGAGAAAGACAGAAATAAGGAAAAGGCTCCTGCTGCGGAGCGCGCTGCAGCACAGCAGGCGAGCCGTCAGTAGAATCTTCTTTAGGTTGTGTGCACACAACTTTTTTTTTTTTTTTTTTTTAAAGTCTACAAATGTAAAAGGATCCACTTCATCACTACTTCAAAAACCCAGAAACAACAAAGATTGAAAAACTAACAGCTCTGTTCTGTGTTTATAGGTTTTGTTTATAGAACTATATTTAAAGTCTCACGCTGCAGATTTCGTGCCTCCAACCTGGGCGTCTAAGTAAAACTACACGGCAGCAGTGATGCGCTACAGTCAGCCACACACACCCCAAAAAACAAAGGAAGGGACAGAAAATGTGTAAACACTTGCAGACGATGGCTAAGACAACACCACACACCTCTTCGTCTTTTTATGGTAAAGAAAGCTTCATCACTAGATTCTAAATTCAAATGTGATTTTTCTATCGACATTGTGAATACTCTTCTCGTTCACTGATTATTGTACAAATCTGGTATGGACAGAAGTGAGACAGGAAGCTATGTACAGGTTTAGGAAGATATTGCCCCCTCGCAAGATCAACACTGTGGGCCCCGCAAACATCTGAGAGAGGATAACACACTGATTCCAGATCAGTGCTCGAGGGCAAATCTGTCCCACGCTGTCTGTACATGGATGGGTAAGGCCTCGACCCCGGTGTCATACATTGTCACAGCGCAGAACTTATGCAGGAGACGAACAACAAAAAAAACAAACCGTTTCACTTGTTTGTGTGTTTTCATGAAAGCAATGCTTTTATAGAAATAGTTTCAGGATGTCAAACAGCACAAGGACAAGCACTCAAAAGGATAAAAGAAGAAGAAAAAAATACTTGATGGTTCTGAAAGGAAGTCAAAAAAAACGAATATGGCGCCTTTTAAATGATGATTGAGTCTCTTTGTGCTTTTGTAGTAAGTCAGCCGATCCACTAGGGGGCCCATCTTTGGGGAGTTTAAAGAGAGAAATAGAAAGAGAGCGAGAGAGAGCGAGAAAAGAGAGGTGCCACCGTGTCCTGACTCTTCTTTTTTTTTTTTTTTATAACAGGAAGCAGGAAAAAAATGGCGTTTTACTCAGTGGCACCCGTGTCGACTGAAACCAGGCGACAAACCATTAAGAGGAAAATCGCAGTCGCCTCATATTCATAAACAAGGACTTCTTTCCATATTGACAGTTTTTAAGATTTCATTTTTCACTGCATCGTCATCATCATCATCATCATCACTACTCTAGCACAACAGCGTGACACATATTATAAATCATTACAGGCATTCACTCTCACACCGGAGTGCAGCGCGAAAAGCTTCTTAATATATTACTCTGTCTCCTCCACCATAAATAGCTCTTGATCACGACTTAAGTCTTGGCCGGGGAGGGAGGATAGCACCTTCATGTACAAAAACACTCCCTGTTGGATTTTGCGTTTGGTCTGATGTGAACTTGGTTGCCGTTTGTTTTGAACAGCGGGGAGCCCAGATTCATGGCTGTGCTTCACTGAAAGGCATGTCCGTCAGTCCAGAGCATTTAAATCACTTCAAATGGAAGTGAACAAGTGAGAATAAAGGATTCAAAACGGGGGAAACACATTGGGGTACTTCAACAACCACTGAAATTTACCATTTGCTTCAGCACATCCCAAAACAATGACAATGATTTACAGTTTTAGAGACAATAAGTCAGCGATGCAGGCCCGTCAAGCTTTCATACATCATGTAGAGTGATGTCTTATGTTGTCGCCTTTCTTTGGAAACAGAAGCGCAAAAACTAAAATATGGACCAGATTTAGAAAAGGCTTGTGCACTTGTGTTTTAGGAAAAGATGTGGCAGACACAACAGGCTGGACATGTAAAAAAAAAAAATTGCCAAGCTGCCAACATCTGGAGTTAAAAATAACACGGAGCGAGCGCAGAAGTGCAACAAACTATGGTTCCTACTGTGAGCAGCTGAGGCTGGGCTGCAGACCTCTGGACGTCACACTCACTAACATGTTGAAATACATGTTTTTGACAGCAGAAATCAAAATGTTTACAGCCTGCTTCCAAAATGATTTTGGTCTGAAAAGTTCATGTAACACGGGGGGGGTGCTTTTTGTGTGTAATATTTATAGACTGAAGCTACCAGGAGGTGACGTCAGTACATCCATGTTTTAAGGCTACTGTTCATTTAAAAATACATGTTGTAAATGTCACACACACACACACACAAATAGTGAATGGATGTCCTGATTTGTGCTCATCAAACTATCAGCAAGATAGGGCAAACTGCAGCGCACATTTCCATTAGTGGATTTGGTTTAAGGTAAGCTACAAGTATTAGCATGTCTATCAAAGCAGCAAGGATTTGTTAGCCCTAATGCTGTTCTTTTTGTATGAATGTAAACAGACTCTTTAAAAACGTGGATATGTATTTAAGCCAGGTTAGCCTCATTTGCTAGCTAGCTGACAGTGATAAAATTCCCATAGATGAATATCACTTCAGTCAACATGTAAGTTGGTAACACCAAGAAATGAAGAGGCTGTCTATGTCATCGTCTGTCTGAAATAATGGATTAAAGGTTTCAAACATGATTACAGTTTGGATTGTAAATCTGCCACAGTAAGCAGTAATCACTGTGGCGCTGTGTAAGGTAGATAAGCTTGACAGGCCTAGCATCATTAAGCTGAATAAAGACGCTCAGCAAACGGTCAGTGGTTGAACTGAACACTCCAAAGTATAAAGCATTGTGACGTCAGGGTAAAAGTGTGAAATCAAAATCAAAGAGACTAGAATGACAATGATGTGGAGGATTTTGGTCATTAAGAGTTATAAAATTGGATTGTCTTTACTTCACCTCAGCATGGCATAGAAAATTGATTGATTGATGTGGGGGGGGGGGGGGCATAAAAAGACTGCTTGAATGAGTGTTTCTTTTTTTTTTTTCTTGAATCAGCTCAAAGAATTTAATCACAAATAACTGAAAACACTTTGTTTTACCCAGAAAATCACAATACAGTTTCTGTCACTGCTCTGCTGACTTCTTGGATTAGTAGATGATTGGTTCAAAAGAAAAAATGGGGATAACATGCCTTGTTGCATTGTGGAAGGGTGAACATTTCTTCTTATCATCCGTTATTTGTCTCTGCCATGCCTAGTTCCTCACATTAAGTTATGCAAAGTGTTGGTTTGAGTGTCATATAAAGAAAATGTGAACTTTACTGACGTCATATAATTGAAATCTTCATCCTCATTTTGCACTTAGGCAGGCAGTTTTTTTTTTTGTTGACTGAGCGAAGCTGGTGCTATCCGTCCCCTCCCTTCCTCCCTCCCTTGTATCCCTCTCCTCATCCTCCTCTTCTCTCTGTAGGAGGGGTCAGTGGCGGTCGTATGCGGAGGCTGTTGCAGTGGCAGCAGGGCCCGCGCCCCGTGATGTTGCTCCGTAGTAGTACGGTGACCCTGAGGAAAAAAAAATGCAGAATAAACGTATTGTTCATGTAATCCAGAAATGTTTATCACAACTTTGGTCTTTTTTTTAGGGGTTTTAGCCACAGGTCTGTTTGTTGTGATATCACCGTGCTCACCAGGATGTGGGATCTGATTCGTTAAGACAAGGCTACCCCCAAAAAAAGCTGACATTTTGGGTCACTTGTGGGCATTTTGTCGAGACGAACATACAGTCCACAGAGGCCGTCCATTACTAACATCAGCAGCCAATGTATTTTCGATGATCATAATAAAGTGGTGACCTCTAGGCGCCACAGTGAATATTACAGGCAAAGGTGAAAGTCAGGTGATGACAGTAAGGCCGGAGATATAATTGCTTTTTAACCTTTTGTTCCTGTACACAACCAACATACTTGGCTATGCACTACCTGTGTTACTGGAGGTCACCTCTAGAGGGCACACCAGGGAGCTCAGACCTTATGCAACTACCATACGTCCGGGATGTAAAACTACAAACATGACGACACTGGAGGTGGGAACTATAATATCTGATTTCAGAACTAACATATTGTTAAAATCAATAACAATAGTAACATCAGATCAGGTGGTCGCTGATGACAGAACACGACGTCAGCACTGTTACCACTTTGTTTCTGCAGCATTTTTCACGGTGCACAGACGTAACAGTCCTCGACTTGTTTCCGTTTAGTTTTGCAGGTTTCTATGTTGATTGGTTATAGCTGTGCAGTGGCATCACACAGATGAAGTTAATAGCGGACTTAAGTCTATTAGCTGTCTCTGAAACCTTCTGCCACTGTTGTCCCCGTTGCTGTGTTGACTCTGTCCCACCCCCTCTGGCTCCACACTGCCCCTAGTGCTCATGTGTATACAGCATCTTATGTCCTCAAGTTTGTGAGGACGCGCACATCACACGTCGTCACAAAAGGTGTTAATATAGTTATAATAAAGTGGGAATATATATATGTATCTGTTCTGTCATCACAATAGGGAAAGGTTCTGTGGGGTATGAAGAAATCGACCTTTACGGTCCTGTGGGCTGATGGACTTGTTTGATATTTTCTCGTGGCTTGCTTTGGGATTTGTTTAAAACTGGTGTGATCGTCTAACACTTCTAATCATGTTTCTTTCACCACACCTCATCTCGAGCTCCGTCTCTCCCCACGTTCAAAAGCAATTAACTTGGCGAGTGCAGCTTTTTATTACCGACAGGTCTGATGGTTAGATTGACAAAAGTGAGACCCGAGTTGTAATAAATCTGAATCGTCCTCTGAATACTCAGGACCCACTGAAATGCAGTGCAAATGTGAAATGAGCAGCTTCAATTTTAAGATTATATTGTACTTTGAATGTGAGCCGTGAAAGGCAGGGATGAGATGACACCAGCTGATGAAGCTAATGACAGAAAAAAAATGGCACTCCTTTTTCTTGTACGACCGATAAAATGAACTCAGGCTACCTTCTCTCACTCTTCTCATCATCCGCCTTCACTCTTTTTACTCTGTCCCCTTCTAACACACACACACACACACACGTGGGCAGAGACACACACTATCTAAGTGACAGTCTAAGCTGACACACTGAGTACAGCTCTACTACGGCTGATCCCTTGAGTCTATTCTCTCCGCAGGGAAAAGGTCAATTCAATACTGTAACCCCAAAGACACACAGAAACCCACACCCACACACCTTGAAACTCTGAAAAATACCCTCCTCCACACACACACACACACATACACACACCTGTCTCTGTCACTTTCATCAATCAGGCCAGCTGTGTGTTGACAGGTTATGTCTGTCCACAGTCCAGGTAATCTCAGGAGGCTCTTTGGGGAAGTGAGGCATTAAGCCGGTCTGACAAACTATTTAGTCTCAGGGAAGTCTTCAGACGCCCTCTGTCTCCCTCTTTGCCCTTTTCTTTTCTGTCGTTGGTCACTTTTACTCAAATCTTTTTCCCCACATTTCCTCCCGACCATCAATCTTAAACCTTTCAGTGTCTCCTGTCTTCATATTATGTGTCCACTCATCCGTTATCATACAGAAAGTTCCCCTTTATTCCCGTCAGTGTTCTATGATCATTTTTCCTCCTCTACAAACACCTCTCTTACTCTTTCTTATACCTCCTGCCTTTTTTTTTTGCTTCTTTCTTTGTTTCTTTCTTTACCCACCTTGCATCTGTCCCGCCTGGCTGGTGAAGAGACTGGAGGAGCAGCCGATTTCCGTCCCCAGGAGAGACCCATAATCCTGCTGAAACACTGGGGACAGAGGAGGGAGGGAGACGAGAGGTTAGGAGACGAGAGGATAAAAGGTGGAGGCCAAAAAAACTGACCCTTCTCACCTATTGACCTTCAAAGCGTCGATCATTGACCTTTTCATCTTTAAACGTGACCCTTAGATAGCTCCCCAGATGCCGACTTTGACACTGACTGTAGTTTTGGCTCAGGGTTAATTTCTCCTCTTTAGCACAGATGCAAAGCTCAAAGAGTGTTTCTGAATATTTTGTAGCAAAATATTTGTAATCAAGGTGGTTTTTCTTCTCTTATCTTAAGGTGACTTAGATTTTGTCATCACTAGGGAGGAGTTACTCACTTGTAGTTATAGTGGTGCACATTGATTTGCAATATTACTCACAATCATCCCATACTCCCCCTGAGATTAAATTGGAAATGCAGTTTAAATTTGACAGCAAAAGAAATCTAATTTAGTGTTAAAGGTCACATATTATGCTAAATACACTTTCTGGACACTAACATGTGTCCCTAGTCTGTCTACAAATCCCCAATTAAGAGAAAAGTCCATCCTCTCCGTCTTCTGCCTGCTCCGCTTTTTAGAAAATATGTGCTTTGGAGATTCTCCCTTCATGACATCACAAAGGGCAGTAACCCCTCCCCCAGATGGGTGACACTCACACAGCTAGGTGTTTGTTCTGCCCTCTGAGTCTGCCTTCTCACCGTAAACAGTAAGGCCTGGTGAAAGAAAGCCCAAGCTACCCAATCTCTTCCAAAGAGGGGGCGTGGTCAGACACAGCTCATTAGCATTTAAAGGTACAGACACAGAAACAGCCTGTTCTGAGCAGGGCTGAAATAGAGGGGTTTATAGACATGATGAAATACAGGATTTAGAATAAGAAACTTCACAGACATGATTTGGGGAGCGCTGACACTTATTTCAAATTGTTGAAAAGCAGTACGACATGTGACCTTTAAAGAAAGAGTAATATTTTATGTCACAATGTAACAAAACAATCATAAAAAAAGGAGACATGTTTTCTATATTTCTGGCGCTGTCACACCTCTTTCAGACTGTCCCAGAAGAACACATTTCATTTCAAAGAGAATGAGTTCACATTGTTAATTGTTCATCCTTCTCATGATTGCATGAAAAATGATAAATAAGTGGTAAGAGTGAAATTCCTCCACAATAACAGATTTACATAAAATCTTACAAATCCCATAATGCAGCACTGATGACTCATGCAGAGAAATGCCTCCCAATCTGTTCCTTCCTCTCCCTCTGCCTCTCTCTCTCTTTCTCACTCTGTCTTCCCTTTTCTTCAAACCTATTCACACCTTTAATTGCCAGTCTTTAGAAAAAATCCCTCCACAGAACCATTAGTATGTCTATGATGTATCCAACTGTAAAGTGCAGAACGGAAAGAAGTGTAATGTAATGAAAAGCTGAACAGCGGCGAATGAAAGATACAGCATATTACAAGAGTGTATTAGAAAGGTTGGAAGCGGGATGTGAGGTGGGATGAAAAGAAACTCAATGATACAATTATTGATCTCTGAGCAGAACTCTGTGCAGAGATGTGGACACACCTACCTAATAAACTGGGGTTTGGAAATCTCCACGATTCATTGTACGTGGAGTACTGGGGATGGGAATAAGGACTTCCGGAAAAATCTCCCCCTGAGAAAAAAAAAAACACAAGAAACAGAGCAGGGTTAAGAAACAGCCGATGACAGAGAGGAGGATCCCGTCTGTTCGTCGTCATTGTCCCAGAGAAATAAAATACTGGATATTTTTGGTTTCTATGTGTGAGCCCTGTTTGATATACAAGCCAACCAACGGAAGTGAACATCAAGTTCATTGAGCCTTTTGGAAATATTGATTGGACATCTGGACTAGATGATTGATTAAATGCCAAGAATCCTGTTTTTAGTAGGGTACTACTCCAAGAACATTTGGACTAATTAAACCAGGGTGAAGATACAACTTTCAATAAGATGAAGCAATGTTTTGACGTAACAGATTTTGAAATGTTAGTTGCTGCATCTCATTAAAAGCTTTAACTACAAAGTACCTGCATGCTCTAAAATTGTATTTCTCACCAAAAAGACCTAAAACACTACAAAAGCCTACTTGGGATACTTGTTTGAATGTAAAAGCACTGTGTGATACATCTATACAGAAAAGTAACAACATTAGATGTGTTTAAAAAAAGGACCTCCTGTGTTTTGAAAAGTAGCAGTGCCGTGTCCGAAGCTTAGCCTGGGGTGGCATGTGCCCCTGTTATCCACTTGGCCACCCCAGATGCCAGTCCATTAACAATAACAGGCGATTTGTCCCGTTATTGGCAGGACTGACGTTCAATCCAGTTTATTCAGCTTTGTAGCAACAGCCTGCTGACGTTAAAAGTGATAGATTTAATGACTGTTAGCAATCATCCGCTCTGAATCAAACAACCAATCAAATCTAATAATTAACCAACGGTAAATTGACTTGAGCTTCTATAGAGCTTCTCTAGTCTTCTGACTACTCACGCCTACACATTCACACATCGATGGCGGAGGCTGCTATGTAAAGTGACCATCAGTATGAGCTGACATTTATACATTCACACACATTTTTACGCTGACGAAGCAGCGAGTCTTGCCCAATGACACAACGGACATGTGGCTGCAGGAGCTAGGGATCAAACCCTCAAACTTCCAGTTTAGAGACAACCGACTCTACTAACTGAGCCACAGCCGCCCCTGTACTAAAAAGCATCATCCAGCTACAACCCACGTATAAGCCAGTGCCACCGTTTGGCCCCCTCTTTCAAAAATGTTTGGATACCCCCCCTGCAAATTATAACTGCTATTTGTTAGAGAAACTGTCGGTAGCATGATGGTGCTCCAACAACTTAACCGTTCGGCCTTGTTTCCAAAGGTAATGACAGTGTTGTCATGCAGTTTTGATTCTGCTCACAGTAACACTTTAACCTTCACTCAGTATTCAGCAGAATGGTTTGCAGAGTAGTTGAGAGTGACTGAACTGGAGATCTCGGCGAGACTGTAGTGGTCCTCCCATACAGCGGATGATAGCATAGCTTTTCTCCCTCATTTACTACTTACTGTCTGGGGTCTACTCTTCCTTCCTCTTGTCTCCCCCTCCCACTCCTCCCCTTGCCTCTTTTATTTTTCCCTCTCGTCCTCTCAGACTACAGCCCACCCGTCACCCTTCACATCAAAACAACATTCTTCCCCGTTTCTTCTCCTCTTGCGCTCCTTTCTTTTCTATCTTTGGCTCTTTTTTTCTCTTCTCCTGAACCTTCACTCCTCCCGGGGGATTCCTCTCCCATAGCTGACAGTCACAGACCCTGATGCCCCCCCTTTCCTCCATCCCTCCTCTCTCCCTCTCGTTCTGTCGGTTCTGCCTCACTGCTCCTCTACACCCCCTCTGAGTGTCAGCCCCCCTGCTGCAGCGAGAGAAGAAGAAGAACAGCAGAAGAGAGTTGCTTGCTTAATGAAGGTATGATATTAGACAGAGCGGACAAAAAGGAGGATAATTTGCCTGGGAAGTGCTGATATAAAACATGGTGGAGCTGGAGGAGCAAAGCTGGAAGATTATCTCCTTCCAGTCAGCAAGTCGGAGAATTCACAATATCTCTTAGATGTTGAGGTGGTTTGTGTGTCTGTTTGTGCGTATTTGGATGCACAACCCAAGTTTTCTATCTCACACGACCCACTGTGTGTGTGTGTGTGTGTGTGTGTGTGTGTGTGTGTGTGTGTGTGTGTGTGTGTGTGTGTGTGTGTGTGTGTGTGTGTGTATGTTTATCTGCGTCTGTCAGGTGGGGTCGGGGATGCGGTCTCCATGGCATCCCCGGGTGCGAACATCCTCCCCTTGTCATCACCGTAGTGACGGCAACGTGTCAGGTTGTTTAGGAGACGGGGGGGGGGGGGGAGTGGAGGGGGGGGGGGGGGCGCAGGGGTCTCCCTTGTGTAGCTCAGTGTCAAGGTCGCGCACACACATTGTCAAAAACAAACACACAAAGGCACGCTAGCAATAGCATGCCGACACACACATTCACACCCACACACAAATATGCTGTCAAACCTGAGGACAGGACGGGGTGAGCGCTGGGGGGGGGGCAGGGCGACAGGGTTACCCATCTTTAGACGTGCTGTTCCTACATGTCCACCGAGGGTGAGTGTGTGTACGTATTTTCAGAGACTGAATGATCGAAAATACACAGAGATAAAACTTGTAAACAACATTGTTTTTGACTTTGCTCTGCTGACGCTGTTGCTTTCGCTTTTGTGTATCTGTCTTTATTTCTCTGCAGTAAACTTCATGACCAGCACTGAGAGACTGAGAGAGACTGAGAGAGAGAGAGAGAGAGAGAGAGAGAGAGAGAGAGAGAGAGAGAGAGAGAGAGAGAGAGAGAGAGAGGAAGGATGGCGGTCCAGGATTGAATCACAAAAGCAGCGTAGAAAGGCGGAGTGGAAGGGAATGAATGAATTAGTCGTGGGTCACTGGTGATTCTCATTAAAAACAAATTACTAATGTTGAGGAGGGACAGCTGTGCTACTGTGGCTGCTTTCTAATGATACACACAGAGAGGCGCACACAACACGGGCACAAGCGCACACGTATATGTAAAGATATACACAAACGTGCACACACAGCACCCCCTGGGAGCACTGTCAGCCATACAGACAAGAAGGAGGAAGTGGCAGAGCTAAGTAAGCCCCTGAAGACACACCGACATACACACTCACATACACACACACACCAAAAAAACTCACTCATACACACACACAAACGTGAAACATAATCTTATGAGAATTCAAACAGATATGTAAATACAGTTACAGATGTAAGATGGCACTGTTGGTTATCAGAAAAGTTGGCACAGTTTGAATTAGTGTGTGCATGTGTGTGTGTGTGTGTGTGTGTGTGTATGCAGGTGTGCGCGCTCGTGTACTCACCAGGTACCATGCCAGTGAGGGAGGGGGTGGAGTAGCTGCCCTGTCCAGTTGGAGGAACATGTGGAGGGTAGCCTGGTAGAGTGGTGCTGGCTAGGTCTCGACCTGTAATCACACACACACACACGCACATAAATACACACACATGCTGTCATCAATGCATTATCAAAAATCCTGACATAAAAAGCATCATCACATTTACACCTCGTTGTTTTGTTCAGTTTGTAAGCCTGCTATTTGCAAATATGGTTTGAGGTTTCTTTATCAGGATATAAAAAAGGGCTGGAGATTCAGCATTACCGAGATATAAACAAGACATTAAAGCGATACAAATTCAAAAATCTAAGGACATCCAGACATCACAATACTATAAAAAGACATAATTTATTTAAAAAAGTTATGACAAAGTTCTTTTACAGACACACGCTCAAAAGTTTCAAACATCCTCCCATAGATAAAGTGCATCATCTTGTGCTAGCGTTTTAAAGAAGTGCTATGGCAGCGAGTACAAACGTGTTTTTTTTTTTTTTTTTAAGCGTTTTGCTCTCCCCTAAGGAGCAACAAACTGAGAGCCAAGAAGCTGAAACTATCGACTTAAGAGGATGAGAACAGTCATGGAGAAGCGAGCTCGCTGTACGCTGCAGCCGTACAGGATACAGATCTGAAAGGTTATGTTAAGACTTATCGATAAGCTTCATCACACATTTGAAAATTTGGTTAAGAAAATGTTTTGTTTTTAAGAGACAGGAAAAAAAAAGAAAGGTTAGATTCAATAAGAGCTTGAGATAATAAATTCAAAAAGCTTCATCAATGTTAAAATGAGACAGTTTTGTGAGGCAAACATAGATATTTAAGATAAAAGTCACTATTTGGGCGTCTGTGGCTCAGTTGGTAGAGTTGGTCGTCTCTCAATTGGAAGGTCAAGCGCTGAATGATTGTGCATGATTTGGCTTAGTTATTACAGTATCTGATGGACACTTTACACAGCAGCCTCTGCCATCAGTGTGTGA